GCTGCAGCACCGCAGCGCCGGCGGCCCTGCCGCCGCTGGCAAAATTCAATTTTTTTTTTTTAAATCTGTACCAAAATCTAAATCCCAAATCTGAATTTTCTAAACTGAATCAATCCGAACGAAAATAAAAATAATTATACCGCAAAAATTTTCAAATTTAACAAAATATATAACCAAAAATTGTTAAATCTGAAAATTTCAAAATATATTGCAAGAACCAAATTAAAATCTTTGATTCTCAATGATTCAACATGAAGAGGCTCTGATACTACTTGTTAGATTATTTAATACTTTAAAATACTGGATCTTTCATGTTAAATTATCGAGAAATATAACAATTAAAGCGGAAGCATACCTGAATTTGACATGGTTAATGCAATATGGATTTCGCGGTATGATCTTCCAAATCTACACGCAGTCTCCTTTTCCCCTCTGTGATGGGATGCAATAGAGAATGAATAATTCGTTTCGTTGCGTGTGATCTGGGGACCATAACCTATTTATATGGGAATGCCCTTTGACCTAATTCGGCCCATCATAGAATTAGGACTTGGGCCCGGTCTCTACACATATAAACCCATACTTTAATTGGATACATTAAAGTCCAAAACCGAAACCTTATTAGATCACTTTAATCGGGCTCGACCGAATTCGATAGCCTATAATTTAATACACAATTATTTACACATACAAGCCCATCTTTAATTAAAAATCTTTACAAGAGTAACCAAAAGGGCAGTCACACTTTGGAATTTGATCAGCTCCCAAAGAGCAGATACTGTTAAAACCACAGGCACCGCTGCCAGTATCTTGTGTTATGCGCAAGCATATATTCGAAGGTATGAAATTTAGAGTAGACCACGCCATCGCTCTTGAACCTACTGAATTGTAAGGCTTAGGGTAGACATAATGCCTGAGAACCCCGTCATATTCCAATATTGTTCTCTGGTAAAATTCACTAGTCAAGGCCTTATTTGAAGACAAATAATTGAGTATAGTTCCATTTTCAGCAACCAGAAAGATGTAACCAACCCGGTTGAAGATCAGCTTGAAGCCACTACCAACAGTTTGTGTTGACCAATAAGCAAAAATCACGTCGTCCAAGGGGAAATTTCTGGTGTAAGACACAAGATTTCCATCAGTTTGTAATGTGAAGAGGAATCTCCCTCTTGAATAATTTGTTTTAGAAAAGCTGGAAACAAGTTTCCCATCTTTATTCAGTGTCTGTGTTGGTAATAATGTATCAGTCGGCTCATCGAAACTCTGCCACAAAACAACTGAATTATTGTTAGCTAACACAAAATTACCAGTGTCAAGCATGGCTCCATAGGCCACTCGATCATGAGATATCGTAGTGGCCCATATCCGATGGCCACTAGGATCAGTCAGTTCAAACTTTCCATCTGCATATAGTTGAACTTTTGATCCTTCTTGGACGAGATTATCTCGATTGGCAGACCAAACAACAGTTCTTTCAGGTATTTTGTTGAACCAGATGGCCAGTAAGTAGCCTCCTGGAATGATCTGCTGGAAGCCAAAAGCAAATTCTCCAGAAGGTGACACCCAACTGGAATTTGCTTTGTTTGCAGTTATTGAAGAACCCAAAGTAACATTCCCGTAACGCTGGGCTGTGGCTGAGAGTAGAAACAAAAACAAGAGTAGGAAAAAAATAATTTTACTTGAAACTGCAAAGGCCATGTGAAAAGTGGATTTTGCTGGAAAGAATCAGAACTCTGTTTCTGAAGAAATTGTTTTTATCATTTGAAGTAAGTTGCCTGTATCAACAAAGATTACTCTAATCAATAATGTGAGAAAAAACTATAAAATATGTTTCTCTTTCAATGATGTTTGGGAATGAGACGTCTTTGGGCCTTTTATACTATTATTATCACACTACATCAATGAAGGAAAAGGACAACGATTTGGTAGAGTAATCCACCCTCATGGGCAAATTAAATAAATGTCGGTTGAACCAGTAAATTATTTCTCCATCAGGACTTTTAACCATTTTAGTTCAGATTTTTTCCTTTATAATTAATTCTTATTGTGACTAATGAAAAGAAGTTCCATCGTTGCAGTTGGATGTCATTAATAAAAAGAATTATTCTACTTTGCTTAGAGGATTTTTGACATCCTTCTTGACAAATGTGTAGATGGATGAAAATGATTGGATAGATATAATGACTGTGTTTAAAATAGTCCAATGATAAAATGTCTTGTGATATTATTTTAATCTATCTATCAAGAATGATAGGGTCTTGGACTTTTTTCATAATAAAAATGTAAAAGAATAATTCCAAATTGACCAAATCCTTGGACTTTTCAAAACGAACCTTCCTTGGTCATCTATTCTCTGACTAAATAAATTTATGGGAAGGATAATGGTTTTAAAAGGGAAGGTTAAGTACGTGTTTTACCTTCTTCGTAGCAATGGTCAATTTAGACAAAATACAACTTATCTTTCGTAATAGTTTTAAAAAAATCAATTCTCCCCTCTCCCACCGCACCATCATTGACGGTATTAAAGAAAATATTTGATTAATTTGGTTGAACAGTTCGCACACGGCACAGGCCACAACATTTGACACTGGACTTGATTTTGAGTTTCTCAAGTTAATTTATAAAACGTCAAAAAGTTTGAAAGACCCCGAGAAGGCTGTGTTGGTAAAAATAATATCCCAAAAACTAATATTTTACATGCTAATAAAATCCAACAGAATTTACACTAAATGAAAACATGAAATGTAGAAAGAATCGATGCAGATGCAAGGGTTCAGCTCTTTATTCTTAAGAATACAATACCCTGCATACTGCATACGTGCTAACAGTTTTTTTGGCTCTCATCTTCTGAATATAATGATCTTTGTATGAAATCTGATTCAAAATTATGTAGACCAATTAACGTACTAATGTTTAGAACTCTCTTTGTATGAAATCTGATTCAAAATAAATTCAGAAACATTTTGAAATGAATATGATAGTGCATCAATGAAGTGAATTGTATAAATTATGCAAAGCGCCTAGAGGAGTGAATAATTTTGCTTTCATTGTTGATTTCCTCGAATGCTTTGTGTGATTTGCTTGTTTGAAAAAAAAAAAAAAATCTCAATGAGGACAACTTTATATCTCATTGTAAATCGTCTCTTCGTAGCCTTTATGACTCGAGTGATTAAGCCTGTAGGGATTTAAAACCTGGTGCCCTAAAGTCATCTGATTTGGGAGTCATCGGCCTAAAGCTCGCTACAGGGGTCATTTAGAAAGCTTAAGGGAGAGACATCCGCACAAAGAGTGATTAAAGAATAAAAATATATATGAAAAAAAAGAAAAAGAAAAAAATAGATATTAAATGCCTTGATTAAGCCCCAAACACTTGTTTTAGAGGATTAGACCTTTGATAAAGGGTAAGTAACTTGGTTGATTCCTAGAGGTTGAAGCAGTCAAAAATAAGGAGAATCCTCATTTGTTGACATGTGGAACTACAATCAGTAAAATCTAACCAAACTTGAGTGGTGTAAGAAATTAGTATTGAAAATTTAACCTTAAGTTATACCCTTGGAAAGAGAAAAGAAAATAAGTTTGGGGGTGTGTGAATCCCACGAGCAAGGTAAGGAAAAATTTGACTTCTAAGGTTGGGAATTGGGTCAACTTATTATTGTACAGCGTTGCACTTGACTCTCCACACACACACCTTTTTTGCATTGAATAAGTGAGAATTTAACTTTTGCATTATAGCTTTGAAGTGGTTCATGGAATCGAAATTATGTTTTTAATTCTAAGACATGAAGGTAAGTTATCTAGCGAAATTTATTTTTAGTGATTTTGTTTGTCTTGATTGTGCTTGTGTGTTCGTTAATTATTCTTATGGGTTTTAGTGTTTGCTCGAGGACTAGCAAATGGTTAAGTTTGGGGGTATTTGATGAGTTTGTTTCACTCATGATTTTCGCACAATTTTAGCTTGATTAAATACTAGATTTTATGAGTGTAGAACGTTTTTTATGTGTTTGTTAGTATTGTTTTAAAGATAAGGAGAAGCAATGAGAAAAGAAGTATTAAAGTGGATGAAGAGGCCAAAAACACGGAATTGGGGCAGAAAGATGACGCTTAGGTGCAACACTTATAGCACTTAGGCGCTACGAAACGAAGAAAAGATGAAAATTGGACCCGAGAGGCAGCGCCTAGGCGCTACAGCCATAGCGCCCATCAGCGCCTAGGCGCTGAAGACACAGCGCCCAAGCGCTATAGACAGCGCTTGTTGTATGATTTTGTTTCGCAAGTGTACGATCCGTAACAAGTAATAGTGGATCTAAGAGTCCGATTATCGATTCCACGAGGACTATTTTGTAGCACTTAATTTAATCTTTCTTTAACTACTATTTGATGAATGTAAATCAAAAACAATGATTAAATGTGATTTTTATTCTAAAGACTTAAAAATGTTATTGGATTCAATGAAAAGTGATTGAGAATTCAAACAATAATTGGACGTTAGGGCGGAACAATTTCACCTATTGGTCACCTTTACTTCATAAATCAAGATTCATAAAACCTAAGGTAGTGTTCGGTCGAATTCTTCTATTGTATTCAACTTACCCCTCTCGAGTTCTCATTGAGCCTACTTAATTAGTTTAATTCCATATCTCTATACAAATTAAATTTAATTAAACGAAACATTGGTTCTAAGAATTCACACACGACCATAGCAATCAATATATGTATCTCTACACATTATATCAATTTACCGGATTTTAACATGTGGTCTAAACAAATAATCCGCATCTCTACGCAATCATTGTTCACAAATCATCTAATTAGTGATCAAGTAATTAAATGTATTAAGAACAATATTAAAATCAACACATGAAATAAAAAAGTACTAGAATCTCAATTGCATGAAATAAAGGGTTCAAAAAGATTACATTGTTCGCCCTAACATGAAATTTAACTATTCATAATAATGGAAGAAAAATAGGAGATTGTCTTAGAATACATCACCGAGTTTGAAATAAAGATGTGGAAGAAAAAGTGAAATTCTTGCACCAAGATCTCCTTCCTCTTCCAATGAGTGCTTCCAATCTTCAATTCTTAGTGTTAATCTTCTTAAATTTCTCCCTTGAATCTCCCTTCTTGTTGTTTTTCTCCCCAATATGTCAAGAAGCCCTCAAAAGTATGAGGAGGATGTATTTATAGGTGCCTCCACGTTTTTATGTTGAAGTAGGGTTTCTATGGTTTTAAAAACGGCCCAAAAAACGCGCCCTAAATCGCCAATCGCAGCGCCTAGGTGCTGGCTATAGCGCCTGGGCACTGTGTCTTCAGCGCCTGGGCGCTGGTGGTAGCTCCTGGGCGCTATGGCTGTAGCGCCTCGGCGCTGCCTCTCGGGTCCAATTTTCATCTTTTCTTCGTTTTGTAGCGCCTAAGCGCTATAAGTGTAGCGTCTAAGCGCCATCTTTCTGCCCCAATTCCGTGTTTTTGGCCTCTTCATCCACTTTAATACTTCTTTTCTCATTGCTTCTCCTTATCTTCAAAACAACACTAACAAACACATCAAAAACGTTCTACACTCATAAAATCTAGTATTTAATCAAGCTAAAATTGTGCGAAAACCATGAGTGAAACAAACTCATCAAGGAGTTGCTAGAGAAAGGTTTCATTCGACCAAGTGTATCTCCTTGGCACGTTCCTATTCTTTTTGTTAAGAAGAAGGATGGAAGTATGAGGATATGCATTGACTATCAGGAATTGAACCATTTGACCATCAAAAACAAATACCCGCCGCCAAAAATCGAAGATTTATTCAAACAGTTAAGAGGTGCAACAGTGTTTTCAAAAATGGACTTGAGGTCAGGGTATCATCAACTAAAAATAAGGCCAAGTGACATACCTAAAACTGCTTTCAGGACTCGTTATGGACACTATGAATTCACTGTCATACCTATTATTTAACCAATGTTCCAACGATATTTATGGATCTCATGAACTGAGTGTTCCATCAGTACTTAGATTAGTTCGTCATAGTATTTATTGACAACATATTTATGTACTCCAAAAATAAGAAGCAGCATGGGGAACAACTCCGAGTAGTACTTAAAACTTTGATGAACGAGAAATCATATGCCAAATTCAAGAAGTATGAATTTTGGCTTGATCGCGCAAGTTTTCTTGGTCACGTGGTTACCGCCCAAGGAATCGAAGTAGATCCTATTAAAGTAGAAGCAATAACAAATTGGCCTAAACCGACCAATGTGAGTGAAGTTCGTAATGTCTTGGGATTGGTTGGTTATTATACAAGATATATAGAGGGTTTCTCAAAAATAGCGGGGCCAATGACTCCATTGACAAGAAAAGGTGTAAAGTTTCAATGGACGGAAAAATGTGAAATATTTTCAAGAACCCTAGTAGAGACTAGTTTTCAACGCCTGTATTGACGATACCAGATGGCTCTGATGGATTTGTTATTTACAGCTATGCCTCGAAGCAGGGTTTGGGTTGTGTACTGATGCAGCATGGAAAAGTAGTTGCTTATGCCTTGAGACAGTTGAAGCAATATGAACAAAATTATCCAACGCACGACTTGGAGCTTGCAACAGTAGTTCATGCCTTAAAAATATGGCGTCATTATCTCTATGGTGGGAAGTGTGAAATTTATACAGTTTACAAGAGTCTCAAATACTTTTTCACACAGAAGGAAGTAAATATAAGACAGAGGAGATGGTTGGAGTTAATGAAAGATTATGACTACACAATTTATTACCATCCAGGTAAGGCCCATGTAGCCGCAGATGCCTTAAGTAGAAAAACAGGATCGCAGTTAATAGTTTTACCCACAGTGCAGGAACATTTAATAAAGGACTTTGAAAAACTAAGATTGGAAGTCATCATGCTGCTAACTCAGGCTACAGCAAGGATAAAAGCATTCCTAATTCAACCTACACTTCGGGATTGAATCAAAGAAGCATAGGATAAGGATCCATTTTTACAAAAGATAAAGGTCGAGATTGGTATAAACAAATGTAGTGTTTGAAATATCTAAAGATAACACATTAACTTTTAAAAGAAGATTGTGTACCTAAGGATGAAAATATAAGAACTGAGATATTGAAAGAGGCTTGCTCTACCTCGTATTCTGCACATCCATATGGCACGAAAATGTATAGAGATCTCCGAGATACATTTTGATGGAGAAACATGAAGAGAGGAATCGGTCTGTTCACGGAGAAATATATTATCTGTCAGTAGGTCAAGGCAGAACATCAAAGACCATAAGGACTACTGAAATTGTTGGATATTCCAGAATGGAAATGGGAGCACATAACGATATACTTTGAGGTAGGCCTCTCGAGGTCAACTAGGGGTTACAATGCTATTTAGGTCATAGTTGATCGTCTGACAAAGTCAGCCCATTTTTTGCCAATTAAAGTAAACATCATCATGGAACAGCTCGCAAACTATACATTAGGGAGATAGTCATATTGCATGGGGCTCCTGTCACTATTGTTTCAGATAGAGACCCGAGGTTCACATCGAAATTTTGGAATAGTTTGCAGGTTGCCATGGGGACGAATTTGAAGTTTAGTACTGCTTATCTTCTTCAGAGGGATGGACAATCAGAAAGAACCATCCAAACTGTATAAGATATGTTGAGGGCATGTATTTTGGATCTTGGTATTAGTTGGAAGACACACCTACCTTTAGTGGAGTTTGTTTACAACAATAGTTTTCGGGCCACTATAGGTATGGCCCCATATGAAGTTCTTTATGATAGGAAGTGCAGATCTCCTATCTATTGGGATAAGGTCGGAGAGAATAGAATTTTGGGTCCTGAAATCATTCAACGAATAGTTGAAGAAATTGGTAAGATTAGAGTAAAAATAAAGACAAAGTAAGATCAATAGAAAAGTTATGCTAATGGTAGAAGAAAGGATATAGAATTTCAAGTGGGCGACAAGGTTTTTCTAAAAATAGCACCATTGATGGGTGTATTGAGATTTGGAAAGAAGAGGAAGTTGAGACCACGATTCATTAGACCTTTCGAAATTCTTGAAAGGATTGGTAGTTTGGCTTACAGACACGTGCCTTTCCACCTGAACTAGCAGCAATGTTAATGTATTCCATGTTTCGATGCTCAGAAAATATGTCCACGATCCCAATCATTTGGTAAGTTACCAAGCCTTGAAGGTACAAAAAGAACTATCATATGAAGAAATCCCAACAATGATTTTGGATAGAAAAGTACATCAACTCAGAAACAGAGAAGTTCCTACGGTCAAAGTGCAATGGCGAAATCATGGACCAGATAAGTTAACATGGGAGAAGGAAGATAAGTTTAGAACCAAGTATCCAGAGCTTTTCGATTAACCAAGGTAAATTTTTGAGGATGAAAAATTTAAGGAGGGGAGATTGTAGTGTCCCAAAATTTCATAGAATTTAATTTAATTTTTTGTATGCTATATTTTAATGTTTTGAAAGTTTAGGGACTAAAGTATATATAAATTAAATTTTAATTTTATTTGGCTTAAAATGTAGATATTGACGGAGCGATAATAAGTATATGGATATTGGGTTCTTTAGATAAATCGTAATTAAAGATGCATATTAGGCTCGAGAAAAAGTTAATTTGGATTAGCGGAGCCTAAGTTATCGAGACTGAAAGATATGACTT